TTACTGCATCGTTACGCGGCGCGCACAATAGGGGAACGGACAGGTCGTTCGAATAGAGAATTCGGACGTTTTTTTGGATAGCTGGAGAAAGTGCTCGTCTTTCTTACGGGCGACTCTTTGGGCGCTATGGGTGATTCCGGAAGGTAGAGATGAGATTTCGGTGGTGTTATGTTATTCAGAGGGGAGGGGTGAGTCTCAGGGATCCTCAGGGAGAGACGGGCGAAACCCTGGGCGTCGAATAAATTTCAAGTTTGCCGATACGTTTGTCTCGTATCGGCTGTCTTCGGATCTGTTCGAAGCCTAGTATTCTACCCGTCTCTGGATCCCGGGATACTTTATTTAGGATTCGGTGAACTGGTTTAACCCTTCGCGCCTCTATATCGTGCGCGACTTGACGTTGGTTTTTATCGCGGGTGTTCCTTCGCCGAGTCCCGCTCGACGTTCTTTCGCGTCCAAATCGATCCCGGAACGACTTCTCGACTTCGTTTTGAATCCACAGAGACCAGAGGGAGTTCTCGCGGACGTCCCGCGGACGTCCCAACCGAACCGGAAAGAATCCTCCAGATTTCCCTAGATTCCGTCGACGGCGATCGACCCGTTAGAATTAATCGTCTCTCAGCATCGGGAGCGACGGGGCAACCTCGACGCCCGACGTCGACGTAGACGACGGGTTGGCAGCCGGAGAGCTCGGGATTTTTTCTCTCTTTTTTCCTCTCTCTCTCCCCCCTCCCCTCCCCTCCCCTCCCCCACCTCCTCCTCTTTCTTTCGTTTTATTCCATTTCCTCCCCTCGCGGCGGTAAAAAAAATTTCAAGTGGCGGCGCGAGCGAGCGAACACGGGAAAAGGACGGAGGGAAAGACGAAAGGCGGGGAGAGCGAGAGCCCGGTGCGAGAAGCAGAGAGAGAGAGAGAGAGAGAGAGAGAGAGAGAGAGAGAGAGAGAGAAAGAGCGAGAGACCGGAGTTTTAGGGAGAGAGAAGGGAGGAGAGAGAGAGAGAGAGAGAGAAAGTGGCAGGGTGAGGGGGGGGGTGGAGGTATCCTGCAGGGGAGCGCGGAAACGGGTGCTCGAGGACCGGTCGCCATCTTGCCGTGAGTACAGTCATGCACAACACCTGGACGCGAATCGGGGTTACCAATACTAGTATTGATATCGATTAACCTCTCCCTCTCTCCCCACGTGAGACGCGGGACGTCGATCTGTCGACGATTCGAGCCTCGAGTCGCGAATCGAGATCGGACACGACGATGGCGACATCTTGGCCTTTCGTTGGGACAGGCGATAATCACCATGGGGGATAGAGATAGAGATAGATAGAGCAGGAGGATTGTAGTACAGGTGAAAAGAGAAAGAAAGTCGCCGGTACCCTTCGGACATATTATTAACACGTTGACCGCCGGATCGATACTCTCGATAATTTCTGCTGCGATTAAATTATATTCACGGACTATCGTAAACTACGTAATCAAACATTTATTCTGGTATTTTTGTAATTTCATTGGGACTCGAGCAAGTTTCATTTAACTTCATACTCGGTGACACTTCGCTTTCAGAATGAATTTGTTTAGTTCTTCGTGTACGAGTAACGTGGCGATGAACGTGTTAAATAGTTGCAAGGGCTTCGTGTAAGGGGGAACGAATATTGTGTAGACTGTAGGGTACTTGTTTCGTGCGTCATAGAATTCCGTATCGCGAGAAATATTCCTGCACTCGATCGAAATGTCTTTGAGACAAGGTTCAGCGACGAGTTTCCCCAGACAGAAATTCCCCGAGCACGACACCGGAACATTTCTCCGCGTTCCTTTGCACCTCGACAGCCCAAGTTTCTCCCTTATTAAACGAGAAAGTAGCAGCAAACGGGAAACCGACGTGCCGCCATGACGGTTCGCGCGAGGTCGCGCGAGCTTAACCTAAATCCGTGTGTGAAATTATCGTCTGGCAGCGGCCCGAGGGCGGTACGAATCGTTAAAAGAATCCAACGAACGGGAAAACGCATCCGCGCGGAAAAGTCCGGATTGATTCCGACGAGCGCGAATTAAAAGTAAAATAGCGCGAGGGAAATCCCCCGTGGCCCGGTTTTTTTCCCTTCGCGAGCGCTGTTTGACGGCTATCGAGAGACCGTCTAATGTAATTATACTCGCGGCAGAACATCGGTTATTAGATTTAAAAAAAAAAAAAAGAAGAAGAAGCAGAAAAAAAAGAAAACGAAAAAGGAAAAGCACTTCCTCGTTTACGGGTGCCCATTGAATTCCATCCGTCGCGGAAACGAGAGGTCCCGGCAGAAATCTTTTAATATCTCTTCGCGGCGTTCTTTGTTCGGCCGAGGCTTCTGTAAAGAAAGAGACGCGGACGACGGGAAACCGGAAGGGGGTGGGGGTGGGGGGGGGGGGGGGAAACCCCCCCCCCCGCTTTTAGTTAATTAAATAAATTCCGAGCGCGACAACGACGAGTGTTTTTCCACGGGAGATGATGCAGTCGCGCGGAAGTCGCGCGGCGCATTTGGATACCCGATGCGCTTGCAGCACGCTTCTACGAGCGCCGCGACCACCACGGAGACGCTTCAAGTACAATTTATTTCGCGAATATCTCTCTGGCCTCGTTTCCCTAGCCGCGATATATTAAAGGAAATAAATGCTCTTCGCCAACGACGCCTTTAAACTCGAGTCAGCTGGAGAGGGAGTCTTTGGCCTCTCTCTCTCTCTCTCTCTCTCTCTCTCTCTCTCTCTCTCTCTCTCTCTCTCTCTCTCTCTGGGGTCTTCAATTTTTTCGAGGGAAGATAAAAGCCGGAATTCGTTACTAATTATTAAGAGTACACGATAGAAGCTCAGATCTACGATTTGATTCGAAAGTCCATCTTTATAGAGATTGCCTAGATGCAACTAACCTCAAGCTGCTACTACCGCCGTCGCCCTACAACATCCACGGTTCCTCCGAGACCTAGTACCCCATACGAACCCTCCATTCCATCTCGCCTTCGCGCGAAAATCTACCTCTGAAAAAACGTAGAATTATACCGAATCCTTATACCGAACCGCGAAGGAAAGCGACCAGAGTCGCGGGGGTAGGAGTGCAGCGGCGATTCGATTCGAGTGGCCGACACGAACTTACCGGGTGCAGACCGCGACCGCGAACATAAGTGCAGGCATGCCGTGCACTTCACGCTGACAAAGTGACGATTACGCTAAACGCATGACGGTCGGCGCGCGCGTCACGCGTCACGCCACTTTAGCCACTTGAAACGCGCGTTAAGCGATTTCCGGCGAAAATGGCCGTGCTTAGGAACGGAGTAGCACCGTGTATATTGAGCGGCGACCACCGACGCATAATGAGGCTCAATGTTGCCGCGATTGGATTCTCGGGAAACATATTTACGCAGAGCTTTCCCCTACGCCGGGGGACGCGAGAGGAACAGATTATACGTAGATATATACTCTTTCCTTGGAAGAGAAAATTGTTGCCGACAGTTTTTTCGAGACGAGTCAGTGCATCGGTGTGCTTATAGTCAGTTACGTAGATATTCACACCATCTGTTTTTATTATAAGAACTCTATTGTAAGAAATTTTTATAATGAACAATTCATTGGGAAACGTCAAACTTGCTTTATTTACAGTTTCTTATACGTACTACATATATTTCTTACATTTTCTTATATTTACGGCACTGACTGCATACCGAAGCTACCGCGACCAGTTCTTATACAGAATCGTTTCACGCGTCATTCGATTTAGTATCGCGACAAATATTTCTGCATTCGTCCGAAAAAGCGTCTTCAAGACCAACAACCGCGAATAAAATTTCCTCGAGTCGAAGGATTTCGCAACGAATTTCTTTACGAGCCTACCGCCAACGTTACGATGTTGAAAAAATACCAAAACGCGTCCTACGCGACTGATGAAGATGGGTGTCCGATTCTTTTTTGCAAAGCAGACGAGAAAGCGAGCAGCATCGGGCTAGTTTCACGTCGAGGCGTTATTTCGAAGCGCGATTATATTATTAAAGCGTCGCTGGCGCGGCGATCGAAGAGGAATGTCGTGTACCGAATGTTGATACAGCTGAGTGGTCGTCCCGGCAGGTACTCCGTCCGCTTGCTTCGGCTTCTGTTTGGCATGCCGTGGGGTCTCTACGCGGACGAGTCCCTAGAAGAAAGAGAGACGGAGCTGGCCGAGGAAGGGAACGACGGTCCGTGTTGACGCGACCGACAGAGGGACCTGGTCCACGGTAGCTGGTACTGTTTATTCGTAATGAGAGTCCCCGTCAGTTAGAGAGGCCAGGACTGGTGCGCCTGATCGCGAGGTATCGCGCGGGTTAAGTACCCGTTGCATGCCAGGGCCGCGTGTTTGCTCGGAACACAGAAGCCCGCCTGGCGAACCACCGGGTCGTCCCGCGTCTTCCAGACCGACCCGGTACAACACGCGCACGGGTCCTGGGTTTACATACTCGAACCGGGTAGACTAGGCCACCGAGGAGACGATGATGTCAGCCTTCAGCGAAAGTTCCCGTCCCGGGAGGAATTGGAAAACTTGCTTGCGGTGACGCAACCTTTACAGACGTCAGAGACGCGGGTTTCGAGTGCCGGCTCTAACGATACGACGGGTTTTTCGTTGCGAGGTATACTTGTTCAGGGGTAAAGTGGGAGTAACTTTCTTTTTGATCTTGTGGCGGGCTACCGGTGTCGGGAAAGAAGGAGTGCACGAGCTTGGGTTATCTTCGTTATCGGTAGCCGAAACTATTCCTTTGCATTTTAAATACAGTCGCTTCGATTGGTGATGCGAGGCAGTTGTCTAAACAGGAATTGACCCTTTTGAACGTTTCTCCAAAGAAGGAAACGAGACCATTTATTTCCGAAACTAGGAGAGTACACTCCAATTTCCATCCCTAACCAACCCATCCCAAATCACAGCTCTTGCAAAAATCTTTCAAACCTCGAACACAGCATCGCGTCTCTAATAATCCACCCCTGAAACCAAGCGTCCCCGACTGACCACTGGCCCGTTTTTGTTTCAGAGCGCGAGTTCGCCGCGTCGAGTGGCGGTGCCGGTGCTGGTGAAGGACGGCAAGCCTTGCGGAAGCGGCGGCGGTGGCGGGAACGAAGGTAGCCGCGGAGGTCCTAGCGCGGCGTTGGCGAGTCCTGCCCCGCACATGACGGCGGCGTCGAGCCCTCACGGGTCCCATCACGCCGCCTCCTCGGTGTCCCATCACTCCGTGGTCGGCGTGAGCCACGTGATGACGTCCAGCCAGAGCCTCCAGCATTGCTCGTACACGAGGACAGGGGCGCAGCAGAGCATGCAGCAGCAACAGCAGCCGCAGTGCGGCGCGTACCTGCCGTTCCAAGGTCGGGCCTGGTAGTACATGCCATCGACGGTGGGGGCGAACCCCTCCGTCGCTGGTCCAGCTGCCTGGTACCCCATAGAGGACAGCCCCTAGAAAGAGTACCGCGAACGGACTCCGCTAGGAGCAACGGAGGAGTAACGGAGCCCACTGTCCTTTCGACGGAGGAACGCGGGTGTGTGCTCGACGTCCGCACCGCTGGAGACCGTCCCTCCTCGGCGACGAACTGTAGTGGACGATTACGGTGTGAATTGTACCCCCCTCCCATAGAGGGGGCGCAGAACCTCGAGGAGAGGAATTATCCTCGAGAGGAGAACGAGGAATCGCTAGAAGGCGATAGGAACGTCCGTTAGAGTCTCGAGGGCCCTGCGCGGACTTGGTGCGCGTTAGACCGCGGGACGGTTACTCGAGGACAGTGATTACAGCGCGCGTGTCTCTCGCGTGGATTCGAATCGCTTCGGGCATCGGTCGAACGCGATCGCCTCTGTGTAAAGTACTTATATCGTTCGAGCCGGTCCCTTCGAGAAGGGATGCGACTTTTAGGTGTTCGATGCCACCCGAGGATTTATTAATACACCGCGAGAGGTGCCTCGAGCTTTCTTCGGGCTTCGATTCTTGCTAGGGGCGATTCGAATCTCGCGATCGGAGATATCGTCACCTTGAAAGGTGAACGAAACCTTTGTATACGGCGTGTAAGACTCGTTTGCAACGAAACGAACAATCCATCGCTTATAGTAAAGTCTCCGTAACTGCACAAGCTCGGGACTGACCTAGTGCAGTTATCGCAGAGTTCGTGTACTCTCCGATGTTTGCCGACGAGCTTCGAACGTAGGGAAGGACAGCGAACAAAGAAGAGGACGTAGCGAAAATGCAGAGCATGTCTACGAAAGTATCCGATCGTGTTACACTGCTCGGCGATCGTAGTCTACGATCTTCCAAGAGGTATACCCCACAGCGGTGGGGCTCGTTTCCGTGCATTTATCGTAGACAGATTTGTGGAGTTACGGAGACATTACTGTATAGTACGTCGTTCGCGACGCTTCGTTTCCGACGCCAGCCAGGAGTCGTCCGGACTCCCTGATTCGTCGTGACTCTTGCTGGTTCGCGTGGCGGCGATCGATCGCGAGTTTGCGAACCTTGAGCGCGAATGCAAGGGACGATTCTCGATAGGATAAGCTAGACTCGGAGGCTGCACGACTCGAGAGCGAGGAGATCGGAGTTCTTAATTCTTCAGGAAGCGACCGAGTCGATTCCGAGATATCCTCGGGTCAAACTCAGATATCCTGCCTTCAAATACCTATCAAACATAGATCCTAGGATCTCTTTGGATCTCAAGATATTTTCAGAGCAAGGTAGAGCCTCTATCTAAAAATCAAAAGAAAGGTTATTATTCTAGGATTCTAGGATCTTTCTTGACCCCAAAATATCTTCAGATCAAGCTGAGATATCCTACCTTTATTAACGTATCAAACATCATTCTAGGATCTCTCTTGATCCTAAGATATTCTCTGGCCAAGCTCAGGTATCTTTCTTCCAGAGATCTATCAAAGATCGTTCCTAGGATCTACAAGATCTCAGCTTGCGTCCTCCTCGAAGAATTAAGGGCACCTCTCCGCGAGCTAATCGGTAACAAAATGGAGCGACAGAGCTCGCTACGCGTACACAGATTCTCTATGCTGGGAACTGGCGTGGATGGAGGTGCAACGAAACGTCAAAGCGGATTGCAAGGCGCGCGAATAATCTGTCCGCGCCACTCGAAACGCGCCGATTTCAATTGCGAGAAACCGTACACCGGCGTGTTCGATCGCGTGACTCGGTTTCACCAAAAGCGTCACCCGATACTGAGCGACAGTGTTGCGAGCCGCTGCAACAATGCGTTCCGTCGAGGACTATCACCCTCTGGGATTTGAATTTTAGGCGAACCGGGGAACCTGTTGGCGTTTACGTCCATCGGGGGCTAACATGGACCGTACGTGATTCAATTCGAGAAACGGGAGACAGAAATCAGAGAAGCTAAGGATCTCGTAGGATACTGACTTCTAGGATCTTGAATTCTAGGATACTAAATACTAGGATCTTGACTCCTTGAACTTTCACTTGTAGAGTCTTGACTTCTAGGCTCCTGATTCCAGGATCTTGACTTCTAGAATTTTG